AAATGTGACAATGGTCTCCTTGGTTCCATGGGGCTTCACAGTGTCACAGTGTTCTCGTTGGTGCTGCTTTTTCACAGTGGCCTCTTGGTTCCATGGGGCCCCAGACTGTCACAATGGCCCCATGATCACATGAGCTCCTACACTGTCACCATGATGTCTGTGGTTCCACAAGTCCCCTCAGTATCACAATGGACTCCTTGTTTCCAAAGGCCCCACAGTGTCACAACATTCTTCCAGATCCCTTGAGGCCTCATAACTTCACAGTGGTCCTTTGATTACACAGGATCCTGCAGTGTCACAATGTCCCCTTGGTTTCCATGAGGCCCCGCAGTGTCAGAATGGCCCCTTGGATCCACTGGGCCCCAGAGTCTCCCAATGATCTCTTTGGTTTTGCAGTATCAAAATGATGAAACCTCTTGGTCACAAGAGGCCCTGCAGTGTCACAATGGTGTCTGTGGTTCCACAAGGACCCAGAGTGTCACGGTGCACTCCCTGGGTCCATTTGGCCCCAGAGCACCACAGTGGACCCCTGGTTCTGTGGTGCTGCATGGTGTCACCATGGTCCTCTTAGTTCCATGAGGCCCTGCACTGTCACAATGGCCCCAGAGTGTCCCAATCATCAGAGAATGACAGAATCAAATAGGCTGGAAAAGACCTTTGGGATCATCAAGTCCAATCGATGCCCTAATACTGCCTGGTCACCCAGACCATGCCACTAAGTGACACTGGAGAGGGACAGTGACTCTGCCACCTCCCCCTGGCCAGCCCATTCCAATGCCCACTCACCCTTTCTGTGAAGAAGTTCTTCCTATTGTCCAGCCTGAACCTCCCCTGGTGCAGCTTAGGGCTGTGTCTTCTTGCCCTGCCCTCCAGCAGATCCACACTCACACCCAGCTTGGTGCCATCTGCAATTTGTGAATGCTGGACTCGATCCCCTCACCCAGATCATCAGTGAAGATATTAAATAGGACTGAGCCCAACACAGATCCCTGGGGGACACCACCAGTGCCTGGACACCAGCTGGGTGCAGCACCATCCCCACCACTCTCTGGGCTCAGCCTCCAGCCAACTCTTAAATCTCCCAGCAAGGAGGGACCCTGCCCAAGCCATGGGCTGCAGCTTTTCGAGGGAATGCTGTCAGAGACAGAGTCAAAGGCTCTTCTGGAGTCCAGGCACACAACATCCACAGCCTTTCCTGCATCCACAGGTGGGTCACCTGGTCATAAAGGGGGACCAGGTTGGTCAGGCAGGACCTGCCACCCCTAAATCCATGCTGGCTGGCTCTGATCCCTCCGCCATCCTGTGGGTGCCCTGTGATGGCACTCAAGTGATCTGTTCCATAATCTTGCCAGGCACCCAGGTCAGGCTGGCAGGCCTGGAGTTCCCCAGCTCCTCCTTCCAGCCCTTCTCGTGGATGGGCTCACACTGGCACCTCCACTCCTCTGGGCCCTCCCTGCTGAGCCAGCACTGATGGTAAATGATGGAGAGCAGCCTGGGGAGCTCATCCACAGCTCCCTCATCCCCCTGGGATGGATCCCATCCGATCCCACACACCTGTGAGC